GGTCTCACTGTGTTGCCCAGGCTGGAGTGCACTGGTTATTCACAGGCGTGATCCCACTACTGATCAGGACAGGAGTTTTGACCTGCTCCATTTCTGACCTGGGCCGGTTCACCCCTCCTTAGGCAACCTGGTGGTCCCCCACTCCCGGGAGGTCACCATATTGATGCCAAACTTAGTGCGGACACCCGATCGGCATAGTGCACTACAGCCCAGAACTCCTGGGCTCAAGCGGTCCTCCCACCTCAGCCTCCCGAGTAGCTGGGACTACAGGCACGCGCCACTGCGCCTGGCAGAAGCACTCTGGATCAACCCCGCATTTGCTCCTGGGAGGGAATTGCAACCTCAGAAACTCATTTCATCACTGAGCATGTCTGAGCAGGGGGAGGATATGGGGTGAGATGGCAAGGGCATTGGACTAAGGAGGCCTAAAATATATTTTGTTGTTGTTGGTTTTTGAGATGGGGTCTTGCTATGTTGCCTAGGCTGGGCTTGTCTTTAAAAAATGGGAATTCTGTAAATGGTCCATTCTGAAACTTTCATTTGCACATAGGTCACAGGTGGGATGCCTCTGGTCCTGGGCAGAGTTCTGCCTCTGATTGGTCCTGGGCAGAATCCTTTATTTGTATAGAGTGTAACCAATCAGAGGTTCCTAACGGGTGCTTAGGGGTGTTACCATGCTATTTTAATTCAATAAAAATCCCAAGAAACATTACAATTGGGGTTCTTGAGCCACTCTGTGGAGTGTACTTTTACTTCAATAAGCCTATGCTTTCATCTTCCATTGTTTTGTCTGTGCATGTTGTTCAATTCTTTGTTCAACACGCCAGAAACCTGGACAACTCGCAGTCAAGACTTCCCACCCTATAACACAATGAGCGATGATTGTGCCACTGCACTCAGCCTGGGTGACAGAGTGCGGCCCTGTCTCTACAAAAAATAAATAGATAACATAAAAGTAGATTTGTGCAATGGAACACTATGCAGACATTTAAAAAATCATTCATCATGAAGCCCATGTAGCAACAAGGAAAACATTTATAAATGTTAAGTGAAAATAGCAGAACCCCAGATGGTACGCTCTTTGACTATAACCACGCACATGGAGAGAGGGCCTGTAGGCAGGGCCAGGAGGTAACATACAAAACAGAGTAGCTATGCAGAAGGTGGGCTTATAGGTACTTTTTTCTTTGCCAAAATTAAAAACAATTAAAAAAAAGGGGGGGGTGTTAAAAAAAATGACCAAAAAAAATTTCACTGTTATATTCTTTTTTTATAATATAAATAACTAATTTCTGCCCTTACCATGCTGGCTTGTTAGGGGGACCAAATGAAAAAACAGAAAACTGTTGTGTCTTCCTGTAGGACGTTGGAGGTGAATCTACCATGCATGACTCATTTTCCATGCCTATCTTTCTGGGTAGGGAAGCAGCACGCTGAGGACTCTGGGTCCTTTCAGGCTCTAATGACAATGCACAGCCAGCATTTGTGGAGTATGTATATAGTTCTCTGGGCCAACTACTGTGGGAGGAGGAAAAGAAGTCATTGCTATAGCCATCAAGAGCTCACACAACAGAGATGCAGACATCATTTGGGGGTGTCTGTTTATCCTAGTTATTCTCAACTGAGGTTGATACTTTAAAAACATGTTTTTCTTTTCTTTTTTAAGTTTCGAGGTTGATACTTTTGATTGTCACAATGATTGGCTTTTGATTGTCACAATCATTGGGAGGTTTACTGCTACTCAAGTATAGTGAAGGATGGGATAGTCCTACATACAAAATTAGCTGCAAATGCCCTTAGTGTCTCATGAGGAACACTGATCTATTCCATAGTCAGGGTTGCCAGGTATGGGTATGCAGGTTGCCTACTGTACAATTCTTTTTTTTTTGTACAATTCTTAAGGGAACCATTCACCTCATGACTAAGTGTGTAAAATTCTGAAACCATACTGCCTGAGTTGAAATGCCAACTGGAACTGACCCCCATCCTCTACTCTTCTTCTTCTTCTTTTTTCGATACTGAGTCTTGCTTTTCCACCCAGGCTGGAGTCCAGTCTGCTCACTGCAGACTCTACCTCCTGGGCTTAAGTGATCCTCCTACCTCAGCCTCCCAAAAAGCTGGGACCACAGGCACGACTATCACACCTGGTTACTTTTAAATTTTTTTGTAGAGATAAAGTCTCCCTATGTTGCCCAGGCTGGACTCGAACTCTCAGGCTTAAGCAATCCTCCCGCCTCAGTCTCGTAAAGTGCTGGGATTATAGGTGTGAGCTACTGGACCTGGCCTGGAAGCTTTTGAATATATTGCTTATCTTCTATGGACCTCAGTTTCCTCATTTGTAAAATCGGAAGAGCAATAGTAACATATTTCATAATGATAACATAAGAATAATATGGTATCAGTAATGTCTGTGACTGGCACATAGTAAACATTCAATTCATAGTCAATGATTATTGTTCTCTGAGATCTGACCTCCTCATTGACTGTGGTGGGGACCTGGTGCCTACCCCCTGATACAGACCATGTATGCCTGGATTCCTGCTCTCCCTGAAGCTTAACTTTCCTGGTTCCACCTTTAATCTTACAGAGAACTCCCCTTGTTGCCTAAACTTGCTTGAGATGGTTTTTGTAATCTACAACCAGAAGTCTAATAACTAAGACAAGGAGAAAAGACTCACCTGTAGGAAATGCAGTAGATAATGCAAAAGCACTTTCTTTTTTTTTTTTTTTTTTTTTTTTGAGACGGTGTTTCGCTCTTGTTACCCAGGCTGGAGTGCAATGGCGCAATGTCGGCTCACCGCAACCTCCGCCTCCTGGGTTCAGGCAATTCTCCTGTCTCAGCCTCCTGAGTAGCTGGGATTACAGGCATGCGCCACCATGCCCAGCTAATTTTTCGTATTTTTAGTAGAGACGGGGTTTCACCATGTAGACCAGGATGGTCTGGATCTGTTGACCTCGTGATCCACCCGCCTCGGCCTCCCAAAGTGCTAGGATTACAGGCGTGAGCCACCGCGCCCGGCCTGCAAAAGCACTTTCAAGTAAGTATGAGATTGCTTGGCATAGAAAGACAATAAATGCCACTGACAACACCTAATCATAACTGAATGAAACAAATTCGAACAACAAATTGTTATGTGAATGGAATGCAGCTAGCTAGGATCCCATGCTCTGTTCTAAGAAAACAGACAGGCCAAACAATCAGGACCAGTCCAGACAATGTGTCTGGGAAGTTAAAGGAAAGAGAGACCCTGTCCCTCAAAACCTTCCTTACTAGTATGTGAAATTCCATCATTAGTGACTCATCCCTTTGTTTAGCAGGAGGTCTTCTTTGAAAATATGAATGTTTCTGGGAAGGGTAAATCGGAAACCTACTGACCCTCACTCTACTGAGAAGATACTTACTTTTTTTCTTTTCTTTTCATGTCTGTTCATTGAGAACACAGATAATCAATCAATCAATCAATTAATTAATTAATTTGAGATGGAGTCTCACTCTGTTGCCCAGGCTGGAGTGCAACGATGCAATCTCACTCACAGCAACCTCCACCTCTTGGGCTCAAGCAGTTCTCCTGCCTCAGTCTCCCAAGTAGCTGGGATTATAGGCACGTGTCACTGTACCTGGCTAATTTTCGTATTTTTAGTAGAGACGGGGGTTTCGCCATGTTGACCAGGCTGGTCTCGAACTCCTGACCTCAGGTGATCCACCTGCCTTGGCCTCCCAAAATGTTGGGATTACAGGCGTGAGTCACTGCACCCAGCCAGAGAATGTATTTATTAAGTGACTTTCTCTCTCCTCCACTTCCCAACCCCAGCTACAAACAGGGCAGCAAGAGAGAGAAAGCCTGGGAAGAATAGAAGAAGCCATGTTTTGTAGAATGGATCCTGCTTTGGAATTGCTGATCTTATCAACCACATGTTTATAGAGCAGTGGCCCTTAAGGAACCAGAGAGAATGTTCAGATTTGCTTCTTTCTGGCATGATGAACAGCAGGAATGACTGTAGTTGTTCTCTTTGCCAAGGGCAGATCTGATCTGATTGCTTTGAGGTGAAAGTGAGGTAAAGTGGGGCGGGGATTCGCTTTGGGCTCCCAAGAATGGTTGCTCATCAACCTCTTGCTAAGCCCGTGATTCTCAAATTTTGCTGCATGTTAGAATCACCTGGGAAGCTTTTTTTTTAAAAAAAAAAAATTTGGCTCACGCCTGTAATCCCAGCACTTTGGGAGGCTGAGGAGGGTGGATCACAAGGTCAGGAGTTTGAGACTAGCCTGGCCAACATAGTGAAACCTGGTCTCTAAAAAGAAAAAAGAAAAAAAAATTGGTACCCAGGTTGTATCTCAGACCAATTAATCAGATTGTCTGGGGGTGGTTGCCAGGCATCAGAAGTTTTCAAAGACCTCCCAGGTCCCAGATGCTTCCAACATGTTCCCACGTCCGGGAACCACCGTCATCAGCATTTATTGTATGAGGAAACTCGGGTGACACACAACAGGTGAGAACCTGGCTCCTGCCTTTCAGATACAGGACTTCATTTACTTTTATTTTTTTAATTATGTAGTACATTTTTTGCTGTTGGTGTGCAGGTCTATGAATTTTTTTGTATACTGCCTGAGTTCAAATTTTATGGTATACCATAAAATTAGTGTAGTATAGCCTAACATTTAACCTTTTATTTTTATTTTATTTTGTTTTATTTTTGAGACGGAGTTTTCGCTCTTGTTACCTAGGCTGGAGCGCAATGTCGCGATCTCGGCTCACCGCAACCTCCGCCTCTTGGGTTCAGGCAATTCTCCTGCCTCAGCCTCCTGAGTAGCTGGGACTACAGGCACGTGCCACCATGCCCAGCTAATTTTTTGTATTTTTAGTAGAGACGGGGTTTCACCATGTTTCAGGACGGTCTCGATCTCTTGACCTCATGATCCGCCCGCCTCGGCCTCCCAAAGTGCTGGGATTACAGGCTTGAGCCACCACGCCAGGCCTTAACCTTTTCAATTGTACAATTCAATGCTCACTTCAGCAGTACTTATGCCAAAATTCAAATGATACAGAGAAAATCAGCATGACTCCTTCTCAAGGATGACACTGTAATTTGAGAAGTGTTTCCATATTTAAAAAAATTTTTTTTTTAAGTGTACAACTCAGCCATATGCAGTGGTTCTCACCTGTAATCCCAGGGTTTTGGGAGGCCCAGGAGGGAGGCTCACTTGAGGCCAGGAGTTTGAGACCAGAATGAGCAACACCGGGAGAACCTGTCTCTACCAAAAAAAAAATTAAAAATTAGGTGGGCATGGTGGCAAGTGCATTTAATCCTAGCTGCTCAGGAGGCTGAGACAGGAGGATCGCTTGAGCCCAGAATTTTGTGGTTACAGTGAGCTATGATCATGCCACTACACTCTGGCTAGGGTGACAGAGAGAGACCTTGTTTCTAAAAAAAAAAAAAAAGTTATCGAATAGTGTATAATTTTCTGTTCAGATCTAGATTTACAAAGAAAAAAATTTTGTAGTTTTTAGTATATTTGCAAAGTTGTGCCACCATCATCACTAATTCCAAAAAATTTTTTCTCATCTCCCCAAAATACCCTGCAATCCACAGCAGCTTCTCCCCATTTCCCCTTTCCCCCACCCCCTGGCAAATATGAGCCATAAAGACTCTCTCTATATATAGCTTTGCCTATTCTTGATATGTCATATAAATGAAATCACACAATCTGTGGCCTTTTATGTCAAGCTTATTTCACTTAGCATGCTGTTTTCAGGGTTTATGTGTGGTGTGGCATGTAATAGGACTTCATTCCTTTTTATTGATGAATATAATATTCCATTTTTATTGATGAATAATATTCCATTGTATGGATATACCACATTTTGTTTATCCATTCATCAGCTGAGGGACATTTGGGTTGTTTGCTTTTTGGCTATTGTGGATAATGCTGCTATAAACATTCTTGTACAAGTTTTTGTGTTAATGTATATTTTCATTCTCTTGGATACTTTTTTTTTCTTTTGAGACAAAGTCTCACTCTGTCACCTAGGCTGGAGTACAGTGGTGTAATCTCAGCTCACTGCCACCTCCGCCTGCCAAGTTCAAGCAATTCTCTTGTCTTAGCCTCCCAAATAGCTGGGATTATAGACGTGCATCACCACGCCTGGCTAATTTTTGTATTTTAGTAGAGACAGGGTTTTGCGATGTTGGCCAGGCTGGTCTCCAGCTCCTGACCTCAAGTGATCTGCCTGCCTTGGCCTCCTAAAGTGCTGGGATTCCAGGCTTGCGCTACCGAGCCTGGCCCATAAATATTTTTGTATAGGGGTGATTTCAGCTTAACATTAGTAGAAAACAATTTTATTTTTATTTTTATTTTTTTGAGATGGAGTTTTGCTCTTATTGCACAGGGTGGACTACAGTGTTGCTATCTTGGCTCACTGCAATCTCTGCTTCCCAGGTTCAAGTGATTCTCCTGCCTCAGCCTCCTGGGTAGCTGGGATTACAGGCACCTGCCACCACTCCCAGATAATTTTTTGTATTTTTAGTACAGATGGGGTTTCACCATGTTGGCCAGGCTGGTCTTCAACTCCTGACCTCAGGTGATCCACCTGCTTTGGCCTCCCAAAGTGCAGATTATAGGCGTGAGCCACCATGCCTGGCCAAAAAAAGTTTCATAAATTTCTTTTCATTTGAGCTATTTTGTAATAGAATGAATGACTGTCTGCTTCAATGGGACTATTTAATTCTACAAATATTATGCCAAGCACTGTTTTTTCTTTTCCATTTGGTAATTTTTTTCCTTTTAGTTGACATGTAATAGTTGTACATAATTATGGGATTCAGATTGATACTTTTTTTTTTTTGAGACCGTCTTGCCTTGTCTCCCATGCTGGAGTACGGTCCACAATTAGGGCTCCTTGCAGCCTTGAGCTCCCAGTCTCCAGCAATCCTCCCACCTCAGCCTCCTGAGTAGTTGGGACCACAGGTGTGTGCCAGCATGCCCAGCTAATTTTTATATTTTTAGTAGAGATGGGATTTTGCCATGTTGGCCAGACTGGTCTCAAACTCCTGACCTCGGGTGATCTGCCCACCTCGGCTTCCCAGAGTGCTGGGATTACAAGCATGAGCCATCGTGCCTGGCCCATTATAAATTCTGAATACAAATCCTGTGTTGCACATATGATTTGTAAATATTTTCTCTTTGTGTTTTGGACACAATACTTTTTGTGAGAGAAAGATATTGAATTAACATTTACTGAGCACCTACTATGTGCTAGGCATCGTAGTGGATTACTGGAGGAATAGGGGTAAGTTAGAGTCCCTATCCTCAAGAGAGGTTTCCTGGGGGAGGGGTGAAGTTTGGACACTACTGTCCACACTACAGGCAGAAATTTTTTGTAGTGATGGGGTCTCATGTTGTCCAGGCTGGTCTCGAGCTCTTGGGCTCAGGCAATCCTCTGAGCCACAGTAAGGTAGAAGAAGGGAATGTAGGCTGGGTGCCGTGGTTCACGCCTGTAATCCCAGCACTTCGGGAGGCTGAGGTGGGTGGATCATGATGTCAGAAGTTCAAAACCAGTCTGACCAAGCTGAAACCCTGTCTCTACTAAAATACAAAAATTAGCCGGGCGTGGTGGCACATACCTGTAATCCCAGCTACTCGGGAGGCTGAAGCAGAGAACTGCTTGAACCCGGGAGGCAGAGATTGCGGTGAACCAAGATTGCACTACTGCACTCCGGCCTAGGTGACAGAGCAAGACTCCCTCTCGCAAAAAAAAAAAAAAAAAAAAAAAAAAAAAAAGGAGGAAGAAGAAGAAGAAGGAAATGTAGAGCCCAGTGGTTACTGTAAGGACTTAGGAGTCAGTTTGTCTGGTCCCACCTATAGCACTTACCACCTGCATGTCCTTGGGCAAGTTACTTGATCTCTCAGTACCTCAGTTTCTTCATTGGCAAAATTAGGGCTGCAATAATGCCCAGGAAGGGCTGGGGGCTACTACATGAGAGGGTGTAGGTGGTGAATGGAAACCACTAATGTTAGCTACTGTGTTCTTATTTATTTGTGAGCAACATTGTTCTGTGGCAGTCAGGGGACGCTACCCTCCATCTCCTGGAGGAGATGTCATTGGAGCTGGACCCTCAAAGCCTGGAAAGGCTTCCAGAAGCCGAGATGGGGGCATTGAAGGGTGGAAGCTGCTCTTTAGAACCATATATTTGCCGGGCACCATGGCTCACGCCTGTAATCCCAGCACTTTGGGAGGCCGAGGCGGGTGGATCACGAGGTCAAGAGATGGAGACCATCCTGGTCAACATGGTGAAACCCCGTCTCTACTAAAAATACAAAAAGTTAGCTAGGCATGGTGGCACATGCCTGTAGTCCCAGCTACTCAGGAGGCTGAGGCAGGAGAATTGCCTGAACCCAGGAGGCGGAGGTTGCAGTGAGCCGAGATCGCGCCATCGCACTCCAGCCTGGGTAATGAGCAAAACTCCGTCTCAAAAAAAAAAAAAAAAGAACCATATATTTTGCCTCAAACCATATCTTCTTCCCCCAAAGAGAGAAGTTTTCTTGTCTGTTTCTCGCTCCATCCCCTCCCCTCTTCATCCTGCGCTGTCCTCTCACCAAGTCTTTCTTCCTTTTCCCTCTCTGTCCTTCTCACCTGCCGGAGGATTCTGTGGGCCGCTCTGGTGTCCTTGGCCTTATAAAGTCACAGACACCTGGGTCATGGACTGCTGCTCTAAGGCTGCAGGGTCACCTTTGGCCCCTCGATGGGGACTTTGCACCCCACTCAAAACAGAAGCAGGATGCTCTCTGGGGGATTTTTGCCCCCTGCAGTCTAGTGCCCTGGTGCCAGTGCTCAGGGAATGAATGTAGTGCTGGGTCACTTCCAGTACAAATTATTGAGCAGTTTTCTGTGTGGACATCAGGCCTGTGTTGAGACAACAGCTCTGCCAGCTTAAGCTTGTTCCGTGAATAATTTACTGCCAGAGAAATGGGAGTTAAATGAGCCAGGAGGCATATTTTGCATGAACTTTGGGGGTACCTCTCACAGCAATTCATGTAATTTGTCCAGGGAGATACTAAAGCTGTCTGAATTCTAATGTCCTGCCTGCCATGCTGACCCTTTGGATCCATTTTATTACCATGGTTGGCTTTGATTTATGTTTATTTTTTTGCTTTGGTTTCTCTTCTGAACTCATGACCAGAATGGTGGTGCATGTGGAAAATGCTCTGTGAGGAATTAGGTACCCAGGTATGCTTGTGCAAGGAAACAGCTGCAGCTGTTGGTTTTCTCAGCTTGACAGGATTGGGACGTCTTGTGGCAAAACTGCCCTTTTCTAAGTGGCTGGCTACTGTGCATGTGCAGGGCCAGCACCATGGATGTGTGACCCGTGCAGGTGAGCAGGGCCCCATGTTTAGAAGGACCCCCTGCTTGATTTAACACTCTGCTGTTACCATTTAGACAAGATAGGTTTGCTTTTGTTGCCCAGGCTGGAGTGCAGTAGCACAATCTCAGCTCACTGCAACCTCTGCCTCCCGGGTTCAAGGGATTCTCCTGCCTCAGCCTCCCAAGTAGTTGGAATTACAGGTGCTGGCCACCATGCCTGGCTAATTTTTGTATTTTTCAGTAGAGACGAGGTTTCAACATGTTGGCCAGGCTAGTCTCGAACTCCTGACCTCAGGTGATCCAACCGACTCTGCCACCCAAAGTGCTGGGATTACAGGCATAAGCCACTGTGCCCAGCCCGGTGAACTTTAAACTTATTCTTTTTTTTTTTTTTTTGAGATGGAGTCTTGCTCTGTTGTCCAGGCTGGAGTGCAGTGGTGATCTCCGCTACCCACAACTTCTGCCTCCTGGATTCAAGTGATTCTCCTTCCTCAGCCTCAAGGGTCGCAGGAATTATAGACGTGTGCCACCACACCCAGCTAATCTTTTGATTACAGCTGGGAATACAGGCACCTGCTACCACGCCTGGCTAATTTTCGTATTTTTAGTAGAGACAGGGTTTCACCATGTTGGCCTGGCTGGTCTCAAACTCCTGACCTCAGGTGATCTGTCCACATCGGCCTCCCAAAGTTCTGAGATTACAGGCATGAGCCACCATGCCCAGCTGGAGTCACACATTTTATGCTGG